ATTATTATTATTATTATTATTATTATTTAAGATATATTTAATCAGTAATCATAATATCTATTTAATTAAATTAAATTTAATTATTTTATTAATTTAATTAATAAGTAGTAATTAACTTATATAATTATAGAGTTTTATCTTAAAATAATATAATATTTAATAATAATTTTATAAAATATTTTATAGATATATATTTAATTTATATTTATTATATAATAAATTAATTACTAATTAATTAAAAATATTTAATAATTAATATATAATTATTAAAAAAAAGAAAAAAAATTATATAAAAATTTAATCTTTTTTATAAAGAATAGAGCTTCAGTAATAAAAAATTTAATATAAAAATAATTAAATATTATCTTAGTAGTAAATATATTATTTTAATAGCAAAATTAGAAATTTATATAAGAATAATTTAAATATTTTTTTAATAATAAAGATACTATTTTGATAAATTAAATAAAAATCTTAATAATAAAAATAACTTTTAATATATTTTTATTTATAATTAATTAATTTTAATTTCAAACTTATAGTTTAGAAAAATTAAAGACTGAGATATTAGATTATATATTTTTTATTTTTATAAGTATTTTTTTTACTTTATCTAGATTAATTTATATAAATAATATAAAAAAATATTTATAAAAGTGAATAAAAATCAAAAATTGAGTTTTTATAGAAGATAAATTAAAACTTTTCTTAATAATAAGTAGATAAAAATTTTTAATAATTGAATTTTTTTTGAGATTTAATATTTTTTATATTTAATTTTTATACTATTTAAATTAGATATTGAATTTAATAATAAAAAACTTTGATAATTTTCTACTTTTCAAAGAAAAATATATTTTTATTAATTATAACTTTAATTTTTATTTAAATTTTATAGAAATTAAATAAGTAAATAAAATAAATAAAATTTTTAAATAAATAAAATTTTTAAATTATAATATCATATAAAATTACTTTTAATTTTACTATATATATTATATTCATAAAATTAATAAAAAGTAACTAGAAAGAAAAAATAAAAGAAAAAAACTAGAAAACTAATTTAAATACTATTAATAATAATATATCTATCTATATTGATGAAAATAGTTGAGAATGAAATAGAATTCTCTAATAATCTTATTGAAAATAATCTAGAGTCAGCTGAGACAGCACTTTATAATGTATTTCAAACTGACATTGTTGACAACTGTGCTGTACTCTATGAACCTCTCTTTCATAACTTCAACCTGTTACCTTATAAATATCTTCATAATTGACAGCAGTGAGATGCATACCTCCATTCTTAACCATGACTGCAAGATGGATGCTGGTGTCTCTGATATGACCAAAGGTTAGATATCAGAATTGTCATGACAGATATAAGGCAGTTTCCTGCTGCATTGAATGGTGCTGGGACTAGAGCAACCTCGGTGGAAGGAGTGAAGGACTTCATGAACGATTTTGAATGTGATACACTTTTCTCAGTTGATGTGGATGGACTGGAGTGCGGAGATGAGGAGTGGGGGAGGATGAGCAGCTAGGAGGTTTTCCGGGTGGGTTGGAGAGGAGGTGAAGAAAGGGTTGGTGTGGGAAGAGGAGGTTGCATTGAGAATTCTGGGGTTTGAGAGGAGGGGGAGAATCAGGGACAGCGAGATGAGAAGGGCCTATCCACGAAGCTCTCAAGCCTTATTTGATGGAGAGTAATAATAGCGTAGCGACGGGATGTATGGTAGCGACTAGAGGCGCATTGGGAATATTTTGCCTTCCGAGTTGGATTTTAATGAATCAAATTTGACCCATCAATTATCATTTTAACTCCACGTTATCTCTTTTAACATTTCCTTTCTCCTGATAGTTAACTCTCAGATTAATTCTACTACCATTCCACTGCAGACTGGGACGCTACAGCGTCTGTCTCAAATCCATATCGCATCTCACCTATCCCTATCTAACCCATTCAACCCCAAAACCAACATACCACATAAGCATTAAACACGTCGCATCATAACCTTCACCCCACCTATCTCTCCCATTCGGCACCAACCCCATCCCTCTTCGCCCCCGACGAATTCAGCCACCCAAACGCCGACGCCCCACCGACTGGATTAGCAGACCGCGGCTTCCTAGACCAGGGAACCCCAGCAGCACCACTGCCATCACTCGAATTCGGCTTCGTACTACTACCGTTTGCTGAAGTTGTCACATGTGAGGACGACCCATCATGCCCCTCAGCACTGGACCGCGAGTCGCCAAATAAAGACGAGCAAGCTGTCGTCGACGTCATCGTCGTGCCGCCTGAAGCGGCCCTCGACGACGCGCTACCAGACGACGCAGGTTTGGAGGGCTTTAGAATCTTCATGTTTCGCGTGCGCGTTGAGCGTTGGTAGGCAGACATGAAGGGGCTGTTGGCGTTGGAGCCTGCACTGGCGCTGGGGTTGGATGAGAGGGAGTTATCCGCCCTACTCCCTGAGTTTGGATCGCGGCGCCAGGGGTCCCCAGACGCCGCTGACTTCTGTTTTGGCGGAAGAGGTTGACGGGGTTGCGGAGGGACGTTCACTTGTACTGGATTTGAGGTGGTGGGGCTGGTCGGGGCTATTGTCGGAGGAGTCGGAGGGGAAGTGGCGATTGAGTTTTCGGCCTTGGTATGTGTCTAAGGAGTCTGAGGAGGTTCGGACGCTTAGAGTGCTAGGTTTGTCGGTTTTCAGGTCGGGGGATGTCACGGCTCCGTGCATTTCTGGTTCTGAGGGCCCGGTGGTAGTGGCGGCAATGGTCGTGAGCTTCTCCCCGTTCATCTGTAGTCGATCACTTTTCTTCTCATTGACAGCTCCATTTGGTTGTGTAGCTGTGGCAACGGGTATTGGCTCGGGGCATGTGGACAGACTTCTGAATGTAGAATCATCCTCAGGACGCACAAGCGGTATCGAGATCTTGTTCCGATCGTTGTCCACGATTAACATCTTATCTTGCGAGAAGAGAATGTCTGCGTTGTGCGCGCGGAGAATATCACTTCCCAAGAAAATCTGAATGCTCCTGTCATTCGGGTCTGGGGTGCGAACGGTGAATCGAACAGTCAGCGTGGGGAGTTGATGGGCCGGGCTACCACCGCGAGATGACGGCTGGTAGACACTTGCTTCAGGAAGGTAGACCGGAAGCTTAATAATTCGCACACCATCCTCCTCCAAAGCGTCAGCCTCGAGACCTAGCTTGTGCACCATCTGATCGCTAATAGAAGACCGATACGACCCCGTGCACACTGCAGCGTAAAGTAATGAATCATTTGAAAAGTTCGTCGTGAGCCAGCAACGGATGATGCACGGGACAGGCCCTAGGATGAACAGTCCAGGAGGCGGTTGTAATGGAGTATTGCTATTAGTGGCGGATGGCCCATTTCCACTAGCGCTACCAAGCAAACGAGAGGCTTCGAAGCCCATTCCATTGGTAAGGGTAGAATGGTGAGACTGGCCGGAAGAGCTTTGTTTCCCGTCAGATCGATGCGAAAGCGAACGCTCTGTCAGCGGATGACTTCCCAGCCCACTACCCGTTCTCAATGGGAGGAGCTCAGCAGCCGATCTGTTTGCTTGACTATAATACATTGAGCTCTCATCGAATCGCACGCTGTTTGCCCGCGAAGCGCCGCGGCGGGGCTCCCTCGTAGTTTTCCAGATGTAGAGCTCCCGTCAAACCGTGTTGGTGTGTTTGATCAAACCCTTTGAATGGCTCAGCAGTAGGGTTAAACGATGATTCTAAACCGCAAGGAGCTGTGAGCAGCGTGTTCCGCGGTTTTATAATTTCTCACGTTTTCACTTCACCGATGTCTTTTGCTTGATCTCAAACGTACCTTGATGGTGAGCCACGCCAACAGGCCCCGAAAACGAATACAACGGACCCCAAACACTCTTCATCCTCGCATCGTCGTCTCGACGCCGCTCCAGTCTCGATATCCGCTCGCCGTGCTCAATCTGAACTGCGAAGAGGTCTTTCACCTCTTCCTGGACACGCCAGATATCTTCTCTTGAGGCAAACGGGTATTGCGCGTCCATTCCCAATGATCATCCACGGAGTAGCAAGTCCACCGATGTTGGCAAATGTGCCTAGGGCGGATGAGGGTGATGAGAGACAAAATAGGGAAAGGCGGGAAAGGAAGACACCGCGGACACCACCAACTCCCTAAAGCAAGCATTCGTAGCCGGCTCAACACACCTTGAAGCGAAAAGTCCAGGGCCCAGACAGGCAGCCAACCCAGGAGTAACGGTCGTGTCCGATGTCGATGCGCCGGAGATCGAAAGCAAGTAGAACCTCCCCTCAAAATAACTCTTTTCGAAAAGCAGCAAGAGACAGAAAATAAGGAGTGTAACTAAAAAGGGAAGAGAAAGAAGAGAAAAGAAGAAGAAGAAGAAGAAGAAGGAGGAGGAGGAGATAAAATCCCGTAACCCCAGATCCCTATCCCTTTCGTTTCCTTAATCCGTGAAGCCTTTTTTTCTTTTTTCTCTCGTCGTGGTTCCCTTCTAATAGCGAAACAAAGCTTCCCCTATTGTTATCGAACCCCCTCCGATCTATCTTACTATCCCCTTTCCCCCTTCCGCGGCGAAGTCTCAAACCACGTAAACTGAATCAACTGGAACGCCTCTCAATTCACTTCAGTCACTGACTCACTCACTCACTCACGCCTCGCCTCTCCCACCAAGACCAGGCACTGCGAGACGGCCGGAAGGCCTCCGCCCACCCAGATAAGTCGTGTGAATATGCCAGAATATCCAAACGATGCTCCAGGGCCAGATTTGGCGCATTCGAATTGTGAAGCCGGACGGAGCGGGGTGGATGGGGCCGTCTAGACAGGAAATGGCGACGGACGGGGGGAAGGAAGATGGGGGGAAGGACACGCTTTCTTTTGGCGTTGTGGGTTGTCGAGTGAAAAGGGGAGGGTAGAGGTTTGCGTGTTGACCAGGCTGTTGTGTGATCAGGGCAATGTGTGTATTTCGGTTGTGTATTCTAACTGCTGAGTGTGGTTGGGGCGGTTAGAAGGGGAGAGAGGGGAAGGGCCCGAGTAACTGATTTCCGGGGTAGTGTTGTTGTTGTTGTTTTACTGGGGCCTTCAAGAGGCGCGTTGTGTATGGATGGCCTGTTTTCGTACGATGGTGACGAGCTGGAATGTGCACAAAGCAAGGGAAATAGGTTTTGATACGACTGGCCAGGAGAGGAGAGGAGAGGAGAGGAGAGGAGAGGAGAGGAGAGGGGAGGCGGGGTGGGGTGTGGGTGTGGGTGTGGGTGTGGGTGTGGGTGTGAAAAAGAGGACAAGAGGAAGAGGGTGGGGGTGGATGTAGGATGGAATGAATGGATGGACGTTGGTACAAAGAAAACAGGGCGTGTTTGCAGGAGGTGGGTGGTATCTCTTTCGGATGGACGGGGGGGGGGGGGGGGGGGGGATTACAGTTGCATGGACGATGAGATGCTGTTGTGGTTTAAAAGGGGACCACCTTTAATGTTGGAGGTTCCAGTAAGTTAAAGGGAGTTTAGTTGCAAGGAACACACAACGCTGCAAAAGAGCAGACTTTGGGCGTAAAACTTGGAAACAAGAACAGACACATAATTTGTTATTCCGAGATCATTTTGTCAGGCATCGGGAATTGAATCTGCTAATCAACTAGTTTGAACAGTTCAAGTTGGAACAAACTAATTCAACTGCTGAAAATGTAATTCAACCGCTTCCAAATTTGACATTTCAAGGGATTATCGCAGGATACTGGTATGTTTATTTAACCAAACTAGAATACTGTAGTCGATTAAGAATTGGCATAGTTGATTTGAATCTTTTTATTTTATTTTTTATTCAATATTTTTTGTGATGATAATAAATTGAATCTTATCATATATGAGTATTATTAAATGATTAAATATTAATTTATTTTTAATTTTTTTTTTTAACTAGTTATAATTAAAATACTGTTCAACAAAGGTTTATTATAAAGTGCTCTTAGCCGTCCACGCACTGCAAAGGTGGATATAAATGCAGACAGGAAACAGCCACGCATAGCTTTAGTTTTCTACAAACACATGGATTTGCATATACACACACCATTGTCAACATTCCCTATCTTATCTCTATATCTCTATATCTATCTCTCAATTCGGTCGCAATCCGAGACCGGCCCTCACCTTGCAAATACCCATTTCAGAACTCTTCAATTTCCCAAGGTTTCGTTCCTGAAAGCTATCCCTGCGGCTGCTTCCCTCGTTCTAACTTTTCCGGTCCATGCTTCATTCGAGTTAGTTCAGTGGGCAACAGGAGCGTCTTCAACATCTGTATAGAGTCTCTCGTGCCCTCCAGGTGTTCAGGTGTTCTTCCTCTCCCGGAGATACTGTGCCGCCACATGCAGCATGCCGAGTCAACTCCTGAAAGAATCATCAATTCTACCGCACACACATGGACTTCCATCAGACCCCCTCCACGCGTGCAACCAGCAAAACTCGTGTTCTGCATGGGTTCATGGAAAGCATTGCCCTTCTTAACTCTCAAACAATTGTGTTGGACGGTAAAACCAGAGTCGTAACCGTAGTTGCTCACGCTGAAGCCCATCTATTTTTCCCCCCTGCAGAGATCCGAATGCATCGGATCGAACAGCTTCCGTTATTATTTTGGTAAAGATGGGGGCCATCAATAGAGGAGGAAACCGAACACCCAAATTTTCCCACTGTTTCTGTTCACAAGGCCCCCTTTGGCGCCTTCTCCCACCCCGGAAACCTCATAGGGACCCTCTCTGGCGCGAGTTCGGGATAACGCGCCCGAATCACCCTCATAACCTCCCGATACATAACTCTATACCCCTCCGGACTAAAATGGAGCCCTGCCCAGGAAAAGAAAAACAAAAGTAAAGATATGTTAGCAAAGCATCCCTGCTGTGACTGCATATACTGCATATATTCCCCATATATCTAAATGTATAGAGAAGAGAGAAAGATCAGATACACATACCATCCGACAACAACTCTCCCAGCCTCACGTTGGCCGGTGCCCTCTTGGACCCCGCCAACGGCTCACCCTCCTCCCACCCGGCCTCCTTCATAAGCGCACCCCAGATATCCGCCACAGGCACCCCAAGCTCCCTCCCGACATCCCGACATGCCTCTGCGTACTGCTTTGTCGTTTCCGCTTTGCGGATGACTGGTGCAGGTGCAGGTGCAGGTGCAGGTGCAGGTGCAGGTGCAGATTGTGTTTCGGCGGCTGCGGCGGATTCCAACTGATACTCATTGATGGGCGGCGGGGTTAGGAGGAGCAGCCTTGTTTCCGGGTGGTGGTTTTGAATGAGGGGGTGGGTGAGGATTTGTGAGAGGCTGATTTTGTAGAGGGGGAGGGGGACGTGCTGTTGGAAAGGGGGGAGGACGGCATCGTTGGCGCCGAAGAAGATGGTCTGCAAGCGTTGTTAGATTATGTTATGTGTTGGCCCGGGATGAAGGGGGGATGGTTACCATCAAGCGAACCTTAGCCCTTTGGGGTGATGGGAAGAAGCCGGGGAGGATTTCCAGACCCTGTTGGGACGTATAGCCACTACTTGCTTGTTAGGCAGACGGGAATCGTTCATGTTCAGAGACAGAGAGAGGTGTGGTAATACTTGAAGCCACGGTTGATAACGTCGAACTTCCGTACATAGTCTAGACGTATGGCTCGGAGGATTGGTTAGCGGAAGGAGTCTCAGATAGAGGAGGACAGAGAAGGTCCCCCAGATCTCACTTCCCATATGCACCCGCACTACCAAACCCAAGATAGGATAGGAGAGATAGGTGGACATGGTAACTACGGCACGGATCTAACCCACCATGCTGAAGCGCGGGCATAAAAGCAAAGCCCTCCTGCTGACTACACGAACCCTGGGTGATGGAGTCGCCGAAGAGGATGATCTGCTCATACTCTACGAACGACGCGGGCGATGGCTCCAGATGCGAGGCGCCTGTGTCTGTCATTGACCGCTGCTTCGATCTGCGCTGCACGTCGCCCGGTTGCATGGATGTCACGTGGCAGAGACAGCGACGGGCAATCGGGGGAGTCGGGGAGCTGTGGGTTGGGTTGAGTCGAGCCAAACGAACCTGTCAAAAGTCGACCTTTGGTCTGTTCGTCGACTCCGGTCGAAAAGTGTGAGGAGAGCGAGGGGATCAAGCCTGGGAACAGCCTGGGGATGTTTGCAGTCTTTTCCCCTCTATCAACTAAACTAACTAGTTATCGGATGCTTGCATAATAATAATTACTCGGTAGTTAGTGGCACCTGATCGGAACCACAGCAACGGCATCTCGCTCTATCTACTTGGGAAAAACTACATCTACCCTCTCCTTTCATCCTCGCTCCCTGCCAGGTGGTGTACATGCGATTTTACCTGTAATAACGTGTACTCTTCTCTTCCCTCCCATCTAACTCCTCCGTCCGTGATTCCGGATGACATCTTAGGAACTTGGTATATTGAGCGTGGGGGGGGGCTTGGCCAGAGAGGCGCGCTTGCTCTGCCTATGATCTTGCGGACGCCGCTTGGTGAGTAGTTAACCTGTGGAGTAGTTGACAAAAGAGAGAAGAAGGATTGCCCCCTAAGTGCTTCATGTCGCCTGACATCCACGATCCACCTGGCCTATCTCCAACCTGACTTGACATCCTTGATCTGCCTTTTTTTTTCTGCCTCTTCTTCTTCTCCTTCTTTTCTCCCCAACCCCCCCCTCTACCTTGTCTGTCTTCCTCACCTTCTGCCTGCAGCCTGTGCTGACTGGCCCTTTATAAGGAACATCTTAAGTTTTCAAAGGAGTGCGTGCCTTGGCCGGGGTTGCGCGCGCGCGGTTGTGTGTGTGTGTGTGTGTGTGTGCACATGTGGTGTGGTGTGGTGTGGTGTGTGTGTGTGTGGGGCGTGTTCATGTTTACATTACACCTCAGAACTGTTTAATACTGCTAAAATACATATACAATGGCCTCTCCTCTCTCTCTCTCCAATTCCACCATCACAGCTGCAGTACCATGCGACTCCGACTGCAGCGACTCCTTTAAAGACAACCCGCGACTAACCGTAACCTCACCTCCTTCCCCAACCAGCCGCCGGGGCCAAACCACCCGCTTCTCGGAGCCGGATATCCGCTCCCGCCTTCCCCACCGTCTCACAGATGTCGCCACCCCTGCTGTCATGGACGAGCGAACAAGCCTCCTAGGCGCCAGTGACGACGGCAACAGGGCATACACAAGTATCCCCAACACAAACATCCTGCCCACATGCAGTCCCCGCTCTCCCAATTTTCACAGACACCACAGCACGACTGGCAGCCTGCGCATACCCAGGAACCACAGCCGGGCGAACTCTCAGGCTGTCAAATTGGGCGGTGGGCAGCCGGCAGAGTGGTCGCGGGCGGACACAGGCGCAGGCGGTGGCGGTGGCGGCGGCGGCGGCGGCGGCGGAGGGGGCGGAGGGGTCTACTCGTACAAAGCGTCCAAGCATGGTAGTGGTGGTGATGGCGCATCATTTTGGGATGACAGGGTCTGGTATGACCAGTTTACGTCGACGGACTGGGTCCACGATAGCATCGCGGATGGCATACGCCTGCGAAACTTGCGGAGCCGCAGGGATATTCGCGGGCGGATCCTGGCGTGGTTGGACGGTGCGCAGGGGTGGATTCTTGTCGCGGTGATTGGGATAATAACGGCGTGCGTGGCGTATTTTGTCGATGTCACAGAGACTGCGATGTTTGACGTCAAGGAGGGTTTTTGTGTGGGGAACTGGTTCTTCAGCAAGAAGCGGTGTTGTTTGGTGGAAGGGTCGGAGGAGCGAGAGTGTGAGGCGTGGCTGTCGTGGGCGGAGATATTGAATGGAGCGTCTTCGTCGTCGATTGATAGGCAGTGGGTTGATTTTATAGCTTTTGTCTTTTGGGCCGTGCTGCTTGCTGCGCTTGCTTGTGTGCTCACGATGCTTACGAAGACGGTGGTGCCATCGTCTGTTTCGTTGTCGACGCTGGATGAGGATCTGGGTGCGCAGGTTAACGAGACGCCCAGCAAGTCACCAGTTACGGATCGGAAAACTGGTAGTTCTTCTGGCCAGTCGCTGCCAAGGAAGGCCGTTGCTCCGCCTATGGTTTACTACTCTGCTGCTGGAAGCGGCGTTGCAGAAGTGAAAGTGATTCTCAGTGGGTTCGTGCTTCATGGATATCTTGGTTTTAAAACGCTGGTCGTTAAGACGCTGGCACTGGTTTTGGCTGTTGCGTCGGGATTGAGTGTTGGAAAGGAAGGGCCTTATGTTCATATCGCAGCTTGCATTGGAAATATCTCCTGTCGTATTTTTTCAAAGTATCACTACAATGACGGCAAACGACGGGAGGTACTGAGTGCTAGTGCTGCCGGCGGTGTTGGTGTTGCCTTCGGCGCTCCTATTGGAGGTGTCTTGTTCAGTCTGGAAGAAGTCAGGTAAGTTGAAATTTTTTTTTTTCTTCTTCTTTTATATATATATATATTTATATATATTCAGATGGAGACGTTGCTGGCAAGAGATGTTGGACTGACAGTATAAAAACTAGCTATTATTTCCCCCCCAAAACCCTCTTTCGAACATTCTTCTGCTGCATTGTAAGCCTCCACCCCAGTTTCCGACCTTTCATTGATCTATAACTGACATATCCAAGGCCGCCGCGCTCTCCCTGAAATTCTTGAATCCATATGGCACCGGTAAAATCGTCTTATTCGAAGTTCGCTACGAATCAGACTGGCAGGTCTTCGAGCTTCTCATATTTACCCTCCTAGGAGTGCTTGGAGGTGCTGCAGGTGCTCTGTTCATCAAAGCCTCGAAAATCTGGGCCCAGTCATTTCGTCGAATCCCAGTGATCAAGCGCTGGCCATTATTGGAGGTCGTCCTGGTCTCCCTGATAACGGGTCTAGTTAGCTTCTGGAATCGCTATACGAAGTTACCCGTCTCTGAGCTTCTCTTTGAGCTAGCCAGTCCGTGCGGCTCATCCTCCCAGTCGAGAACTGGCCTATGCCCTCCAGCCGACCAGATCCCCGAAGTGATCCGCTACCTCGTCGTTGCCTTCGTCATCAAGAGTCTCCTAACCATTGTGACATTCGGCATCAAAGTGCCCGCGGGAATCTACGTACCGTCCATGGTCGTTGGCGGTCTTCTGGGCAGAATCGTCGGCCACATTGCACAGTACTTCGTCGTCCATTTCCCGGACTCTTTCCTCTTTGGAAGCTGCCCCAGTTCCCCTGATGCCTTCTCCTGCGTAAATCCAGGCGTCTACGCCCTTATCGCCGCTGGCTCAACGATGTGCGGCGTCACACGCCTCTCCGTCACGCTGGTCGTAATCCTGTTCGAATTGACAGGCAGTCTCGACCACGTCCTCCCCTTTTCCCTTGCAATCCTCTGCGCCAAATGGACCGCGGACGCAATGGAACCGCTAAGCATATATGTACGTATCATTCTGGTGGAAAATCAATCACTCACTTCGTTCCACACGGTTAACAGACACCATCCCAGGATCTCCTCACGGACATGAACTCCTACCCATTCCTAGATAACAAACTCCACCCCACCTCCGACATCGAACTCGTTGAAATCGTTCCCCGCGTCCGCAAAAACCGCGTAATCGACATCTCCAACTCCCCCCTGGTCCCCGCCACAGAATTGCGCGAGAAACTCGATGTCCTCTTCATGGCTGGCGAGCTGGACGGTGGCCTACCCATACTCCGCAAAAATATCCTAGTCGGCCTAATCCCGGCTCCAGAACTTGAATTCGCTCTCGATAGGCTTGAAAATGAAAAGGAGGCGATGTGTCTGATGTGTATTGATGCGTCGTATGGCGGGTGGGTTGGTTCGGATGGACAGGATGAGCATTCGAATGGGCTAGCGGATTTTACCCCGTATATTGATCCGGTAACTATCTGTCTTCCTTTGCTCCGTTGCTTTGATATATATTTTGGAAGCCGTGTTTATGTCTTTGCTGCTTTACTAAAGATAGATAAATGATTGCTTTTTAGGCGCCTGTCTCACTGGATATCCACTCGCCCATCAGCCTTGTGTATCAATGCTTTGTCAAGTTGGGATTACGGTACATGTGCGTCCTGCGCGACGGACAGTATGCTGGGCTGGTGCATAAGAAGTCCTTTGTGAAGTTTATGAAGGAGCAGGAAAAGATTCGCATATGAAAGTGGTTTGAGTTCATAATTGAAAAAAGTGAAAAAGTGAAATTAGGTGTGAGCTCAATTCATAGATTTTCATTCCTTTTCCCCCTATTTTCATAAAGACTTCTGGTGATAGATCTGCCCTGCCTCTTTTTGCATATTTCCTCGCTTCTCTTGTTGCTTCTTTTCCTCTCTTCTCTTTGGATTTTCTTATGGATTATTTGTCAGGGATATCATATTGGCTTTTTTCCTCCACACTTTTTTTGGTTACTTCATCTTGTCCGTTCTTGCGTCACTGCCGTCACCACCCCATCTACATTTTTTTTTTTTTCTATGAGAGAGTCTCTGTTGCATATTATTTGGCCGCAGCTGGATTCGCATATATATATTCATGTCTATATCATTAATTTCAGTTTTTCTTTCATTGGATTCCTTCTACATTTTTAGCCGGTATCTCCCCTTTACTGAATCCCCAAATTTACGCATTGCACAGGCGTTTGTGGATTCCTGTGGCTCCTTGCCATGGTTGAAGGTGTTATATTGTCTTTTCATTTCTATATTTCCATTTGTCTTTCGTTGGAAGGTTTAATGGATGTTCCAATCTCCGCGGACCGCTGAGCGTATTTGTCGCCTTCTTAGCCCCCATCCTTCTTAGAGACGCATTTGCTTGCTCCTCTATTAAATTATCCCTCCATCGGATCTTTCTTTCCCTTGTGTTTTGGTATTTTGAAGTCCTGTCTCCACTGGCTGCTGCTGGTTTGTTTAACCATCCAGGAAGAAAACAAGACCGAAGAAAATCCATTCTCCAGCCCCCACTTTCACTCTAACTAGTATGTTGATATATCCGTTCACCAGAGGAGGAGTCATTTTGCTCACTTTATTCATGCAACATCACGGCACAGCCGTCCGTCCACCATAGAGAACGTCTTGGGGATCATATTTTGCCTTAATACGAATCAGTGAGGGATAATTGGCGCCGCAATAGAAGGCGCGTTGGAAGTTGGGGTGGTATGGATCGGGCTAGGTAAGCGGGATTAAGTATCCTACATTCTTTCCCGCAGGAATGGATATATTGAAACAACAAGAGAAATCATCGAGGAAACTATAGGAGGGAGAACGGGGGAGGGTTGTCACTCACATGTGGTCTGGCATGCTGAGAAAGGGAGATGTAATTTCCCAGCGTGCATAGTTTAGAGACTGGGGTGTAAAAGGGGTTGCAGGTGCCGTTGGCGAAGGATGGGGCCATGGAGATTTCATAGCTATTGGGTTTTTTTTTTTTTCCAGTCTTAGTTTGGTTTACTGGATGATGCATGGTTTGGATTGCCATCTAGTTGATAAAACGTGCTGCCCTCTGGAGATTCCCCCTTGTTGGTGGCAGGTTGTCGCATTCCGTGGAATTGTGGTTGCAGGGAACTAGTTAGCAGGGCGCGCCTAGGGGAACGGAGGCTGCCAGTAAGCCGTTGATGCATCCCATTGAATTTGTTCCATTGTATCATTTGACATTTCTATCTCAAAATGTCTTCTTTTATACTCAGGAAAGAGTTGAAGAGATTTCTCACTGTTTGACTGTGTGACAGCAAACAAGGTATGACTTGAGGAACAATTAGCAGCCAAAGAGCAATTAGACCCGTTACATCCCATCTTTTTCCAACATTTATTATAGATTGATTAATTAACTTGTTTTTACCCACGGAACTGTCAAACCTCCGGTTATGGCGTCTATATAGCGGTTAATAATATTATTAAGCGTAACTGACTAGTTTAGCCGCAACCACCTGATTTTGCCGAGCCGAACCCCCTCACTAACTTCGAAGGATTTTGTCTCCAGTATCACTAAAAAAAAAAAAAAAAAATATCAGACACCCGCCCACTCTCATGCACAATTCATTAAAGACATGAGTGACACTTGACCTAGCTCAGCTACTAAATTTATTTTCTGCGTCTAAGCAAAATCAATCTACTCCATCCACGAGGAGGTGTAGCGGATGTTTTATTCCCACTTTGTAAATATATATACACTCTGATCAAAGGCCATCGGGAGTAGTTATTTGAAGTTAGTTTGTGACTAAGGGCCACTCGAAAAGTCGTAACCTTCCTCCGCTGCCTTCAATAATAAAACATCCATCTTCCAATGAGTGCAATAGTTGTTAGGGTTTTGCTTTGCTTTGGGTGGCGCATTCCCTTGATCTTAATTCATTCGAATATGAGCAACCCCGGCCCGGTTATTAATTACTCCGCATCAGCAACAACGTTAGTGATAATAACGAGTTAAAATCCAAAATGCAACCAACTAATAGTTACCCGCGGCAACAACCAATAATACTATCTCCGATCTATTTAAAATAGCCCAACTACTGAGGTTTCTTGAACCTATCCATCCATTACTTACTGTTTGACACATCTCGTCCTACTGGTTAGTTAACCTCCCAATGCCAACGAGCACCCTGCGCTTCTCGCCACGGTTCCTAGCATCCTCCTACGCCTCACTTCGTGCTGTTCGACGTCCTCCCACAAGCCCCCTCGACCCCGTAAGAATGTCAGGAACTGTGGCTGGCGTTAATCCAAAGGCAGAGAGGATACGTGAGTCTTTGCTCCATTTCTTTCCTTGGATATTGTAGTTGCTAACGGGTTATTATTACATGAGCTAGGGAATCCGGCAATCTTGTATGTTGCTTGCTCCCTTTTCTGCTATTCTCCCGGTTTCATGGCTCTCAGGGATGGTTCTTCTGGGAGCGCAGTGGAGGATCTGCCGTAGCGATACAGCCTCCTCACCACTCACCGGGATAAACTGAGTCGGGAAATGAGCTGACAAGGGTCAATTTATGACTTCAGTATCTGCGATATCCAGGAGAAATTCCGTCCGGTTATCTTCGAGTACCCAAAGTTGTCAGTTTGGCGACCCCACCCTTACCCCCCACCAACAAACACAACACAACCCGACAAAAATCAAAGAGCTAACATGATACACACCCCATCAGAATCACGACAACCATCAAACTCCTCAAGGCTTCCAAACTCCTCAACGTCCCAGTCTATATCACCACCCAAAACCGCGCACGCCTCGGGAACACCGTCTCCGAATTATCTCCCTACCTCGACCCATCCACGAATCCCAACGTCCGCGCTGATCTCGACAAGACCCTTTTTTCCATGGTAACACCTGAACTGAAAGCCTCCCTTCCGCCGCAACGACTGGACATCATCATTGTCGGCATCGAGTCGCACGTCTGCGTCACGCAGACAACGCTGGACCTGCTGGCGCTGGGCCATAGGGTGTACGTTGTTGCTGATGCGGTGAGCAGTATTAATCCAGAGGAAAGAGGGATTGCGCTGGCGCGGCTGGCAGATGCGGGTGCCGTAGTAAGCACCAGTGAGAGTGTGTTGTTTGAGATCATGGGGGATTCGAATCATAGTGTTTTCAAGCAGATCAGTGGGTTGGTGAAGGAGACTGGGGAGGATACGAAAAAGGCGTTGGGGGTGTTTTGTGGGAGTAAGATTTGATGGTGATTTGGAGCTGGGATGGAATGGATGGAGTAGTTACATTGACTTTCATTGGCGTCTGGTTTAATGTTATTTCTCCTTCTTTTGTCTACGAAGTATTTTAAAACAGGCGCGTTTTGTTTCTCGTCTGTCGAAAGAAGGAAACTATTGTAAAAAAAAAATAAAAAATAAAAAAATAAAAATAAAAACTACCTTTCCCTTTTAAACAAACAACCATAACCGGGTTCTGATTGATTGATCGGTGCCACAGTCAAGCAAACATCAGCGATTCGTGCGGTTCCTCTCCTTCCGACAAATTGTGGCGAAGGATTCTTCAGGGAGGATGGCAAAGAGCGAAGAAACAAAGGGCCCTAAAGAAATGATGGCCAAGTCATCATACCTAGGATGGGACAGAGCGGACTAGGGAAGGGGATCGGCGAATCAACACTCCCGTGCAGGCCCATCAATTCATCCTCGAGCATCCCCCTGCTGCACATTCTTTCCGGCGTTGCTCCCAAACACGTTGCTGTCCCCCCGGTTCCACGTGCCCGGTTTCTCCACTGATAATATTCCACGGACTTGCAAAAAGAAACAAAAGCCAAAACGCTTATGAGGCAAACAAGAGGGAAAACGATGGCGTTTTCTTCGTGGCTGCAGCCCCGGAAATATCGAAACAGAGCTTAACACATCACCGCATCTCACAACACCATACCCCATCCACACGCCTTCGTCGACACCTAAATCACATTCCAAGGCGAAGTCACGATGAAGCAGGAAAGTGGAAAATAAACTCGGGGTCTTTTCACTAAGGAGCGGGAGAGAATTATGCCCGCGGGAGGAAGAGTAAAGGGTGCGAATGACGTGAACTTTGAGGGATCCCGTAGGTATCTGGAAATGGGGCTGTATATTGCTGGAGAATAGGCGAACAGGGCCCCTAGGTTCTTGCGTCCTCACGAACCAGGGAAGAATCGACACAATGACTAAAAAACAACAGTAGGGTTTCTCTGGGAAGATAGGCTCCTGCTGGAGTGCCACGGTGTGGAAGGAGGGCGAAGAGAATTCGGTTGGTTCGAAGCAATATCGCAGGGGAGGATTAAAGCTGCTAGATCAACATTCTAGAAAATTTATATAACAGCAAGTACAGACAGGTATAATGTATCATGTCAAACACAAACAGAGAACCATCCATCGACCCAAAAGGGTACGACAAACATGCGGAAAACTCGAACGACAGACAACATTTGACCCCGGGCCTACAACTGCATAAGATGCACCTTCGCCGCCCTCCTAAAAATATTTTCGTCCGTAGCAGCAGCAGCAGCAGCAGCGTTGCCGTTCATCGATCCAGCATCAACGTCAATGCCGGCACTGCCACTGGTTTTCCACTCGACGGCCCAATTCTTCAACGCAAACAGTTCGTCGATCAGCGCGGGCAGGAATGTGCCGGGACCGTTAATGCCATCCCTCGCGGCAGCTCGCTCACCGGCGATCTCGAGCAGGAGGAGACTGGACAACACAGCGAGCAGCTTGTCATTTCTGTGCACGGCAAGAAAAGAGGCAGCCATTGTACCGATTATACAGCCGGTCTGGAGAATTAGAGAAGGTTTCGTTAGTGTCTGCTGCAGGACGGTAGGTGGCTTCAGGAGAGGGAAAGGTCAGCAGGGAACAGATATTTGAGGACTTACGCCAGTAATGTGGCCGAGGAGCTCGTGGCCATTTCCGATGGCGAGAACGCGTTCACCGTCGCTGAGGTAGTCGACCCTGCCAGTGAGAAGGACGACGTTTCCTGAGGGAATGAAGTGTTATTTTTATATTTTCGAATCCCACTGATGGCAATATGAGAAGTGTAATTTTGGTGATAGGCGAGATGAAGAAATACATAATATAAAGGTGACGTAGTTGTTGCCTTCTTTGTGTGTTTCGGGGTACCAAAAGTATAGTATCATCGAAAAAGGGTGCGTTGAAAAATGTAGCTTACTCTCACGTCTAGCAAGATCCCTGACAAGTTTCGCTTTTTCTCTGCGGCTCAAAATACTTGGCCCGCTATCAACGCCAACCTGACGCCCAGGGGTTTTACCGTAAACCTGAATCAGCTCGGATTCATTGCCTTTTATAACGTCAAAGTACCCACCGGCGAGCAGCTGTTTCACGGCCCTGCGGCGAATATCAGTAGCACCAGCCCCGACTGGGTCAAACACAACGGGGTTTCCTTCTGCATTATAAGCCCGTAGCGCCTGTATGTAATGATCGATGGCTTCATCGTTTAGAGTTCCCATGTTTATCAATAAGGAACCCCCGTTTTTAGCTAGATCACTTGCTTCGGGACCATACCCGGACATAATTGGGGATGCACCACTACATGTAAAATAAGGTTAATCTTAGCATGGTAGTAATAATAGATGGGATCTTACATTGCAATAGCAACGTTTGCAGCAAAGTTAGCCACAACGAAGTTGATCATGTTGTGGCACAGGGGTCGTTTAAGAGCCACGGCACGAATAATATTCGGTACTTCATCCAATAACATTGTAACTTCATTTTCCCGCGGAGCGGCAGGGAAGGTAGCTGAAGCAGGATTTTCTTTGACTAGCCTGCTAAACGCTGCTGCAGCTTCTTTCGGGTTTTCTGCTGCCATAATTGCGCTGACAATCGCAGCACCATCGAGGCTCTTGAGTGGTGCTTGTGATTGGTAGATAACGCGTTGGACGTTGGACAGGTTGATACCTCCAATAGCAACGGTTCCAACTTTCCTGGGCATTGTAGAGAGAAACGCTAAGATTTCCTTTGTGCCAGCGGTCCCGATAATGGCCTTGGTATCGGTTTTTCTTCATCACAGTCAATTTCACGGGCCATAATTCGTAGATCTATAAGCTGCTAAATGTTGATAGGGAGGCAGGGGGCCCACAGGCGCATGTGGCTTACGTGGGAGTTGCAAATACGGTGCCAATCCCAAGGTAGTCTGCACCATCTTCCACCGCCCGAAACGCTTCCTCGTTCGAACAAACAGTTGCGCCGATATACGCATTTGGGGATAGCAATTTTTTTGCTTCAGGTATCTCTAAAACAAGGGTTATTATAAGATTGGTCTGCTATCCACATCTCTTCTGGGGTCTACAACAGTGCAACTAACTCATGTCATCTTGCCCAAGATGGACTCCTTCAGCCCCAACAACCAAGGCGACATCGACTCGGTCATTAATGATTAGAGGAACATTATACGCTTTCGTAATTTCATGGAGCTTCTTCGCCGTTTCAATTAGAACACCGGTGTCACTATGCTTGTCCCTATACTGAACAACCGTAACCCCTGGACATCACATCCAAATTAGTAAGGGTGCATATGCATGTGGCACTCAGCTCTACGCTCCGTCTTACCCCCTTCGATGGCATCTCGAACAACTTCACACAAATCTCTGTCTCCTAGGATGGCAGGAGTAGAGTCCGTCACCAAGTATACGGATAGGTCCATAGCTCTGTTTGGTGGGCAAAACTGCGCGCTCTGTTGTAGTGACGAAATCTTTATTTGTGATAGCGAGTAATATGCTGAAATTGAGGGCCGGGGGGCATGAAAAGAAACAGCTTGAGTCCAAAGGATAGTATTTGTTGGTGTTCCTGTTGTGTTTAGGCATATTAGTAAATTCCTGGCTATCGTCGCAGCCACACATCTGCTGAAAACCAAGTGTAGTGAAGCAGCCAGAAAACTCAAGAATGTATATCTATTTCCACATATCTGAGGCTTCTTACATAGAGCCAAGTTCATGGTTGATACTTAGAACAAAGAAGATACAATTGATATGGGACTCTATTACTGAACAGGTTCCATGAATACACAAAATTTGCTGGGTATATTGACAACGGAAGGTCAAGAAGGAAGCATATCAAACAGGTATGAAGATTTCATATGCATCAAAGAGAGGAATGTCACTTCAAGGGAACCCAGAACTATGTTGTTGTACCTTGAGGTTTTATCAAACAAGGGGTATGCTTTTCAATTCGTCAAGTTCTTTCGGAGGCAGAAGGAGATGTAGTTATCTGATCGTAGATCTAATAAATGTGGAATATGCCACAGCCCCATATACGTAATTATATCACCCTGCAGCAAAGGGGATTTAAAAAAAAAAGGAGAGAGGAGAGAGATAGAGGAAAAGAGGGCCTTGTTCACCTCATCGTCATCATCATCCTCAACTTCTCCATTATCTTTCATCAAACGACTTTCTCTCGACGTTCAAAATTTCCTCTTCGGGTGGAGTGGCATCACATGATCTCGCACGTGATGCGACTACCCCCATGGATTAGTCAGCAGCTCCCAGGAAAAGAAGAAATCAATTTGCCGCATCCGGATAACCCGATTTGGCCACCGCCTTCCACTCTTTAATAGTCCTTTTTTTTTTTCCCCTTCCAAACTTTCATCTCTCTATCTTCTTTTCCCATCTAACATCTTCGCTGTTAATACCTCACCTCAGCCCATCTAGACTGTTTTATCTCGTAACTGAGTTAACTGCCTCGAACTCCATCTATTCGGTGCTGCCCCCAAAGCTTCACCATTTCGTACTTCCTGCTGGGATATCCCGTTGTGTCAGGCCAGCCCACTTTTCTCCCCCAGGTCTCTCTACGCAAGCATTCTGCCACGAAGCTGGATAGAGCACCTGTCTATGTATTCGCCCTACGTCAACGCTTTCGAACACCACTTGCCGCTCAAGCTGCAACCTTTTCGCCCCGTGCGAAAACCTTGTAGTTACCATTCTAGATCGTGTGGTTGAGATTCACTTCGCCTGAGCCACATCTCCGATTGACCCCTCCATCGACCGGTAGAAAGGGAACTTTTTCTCTTTCCTTATACGCCCCCAGATATTCACGGATACATTCGTGATACGCATCGCATGTCTTGTAGCAATCGCATGCCATTCTCTCAGGCTCTCCTCGTGTTTCGTCCTTTATTGCCCGCATATACATTCTTTTGAAGATTTTGTCTTTCTTACTCTCACCATGGCTGCCACTGTCAACATCCGTCGGGTAAGCTTTGCGCTGTGCCTTTTGTTCATGCTCTAGGTCCCTGTTGTATTAGACCTTTTCTTACTCTGGTATAATAGGACAACCCCGATCCGTTTTATCGTTACAAGATGGAACGTCTCCAGGCTAAGATCGAAGGCAAAGGCAATGGTATCAAAACGGTTGTTGTTAATCTCAACAACGTCGCTCAGTCCTTGGGTCGCCCACCTGCCTGTAAGTACTCTATATTTTTCGTCTCTTTTTATCCAGCTAATAGCAGAGCTAGAAGCATGCCAAGTCCAATTTAATGCTAACTCTTGGGAATAGACCTGATAAAGTACTTCGGATTTGAACTTGGGGCTCAAGCAAACGCTAAACCAACTGATGATCGCTGGATTATTAACGGAGCTCACGATGCCCATAAGCTTCAAGACTACCTTGATGGGTTCATCACCAAATTTGTGCTGTGCAAAAAATGCAAGAACCCAGAAACCGAAGTTGTTGTCAAGGACACCCGGATCATTCTTGACTGCAAAGCCTGTGGTGAAAGATCCGATGTTGATCTTCGTCAAAAGCTAAGCACTTTCATTTTGAAGAACCAGCCAAAGAAGGGTAAGAAGGACAAGTCAACCAAGAAGGCTCGCAGGGAAAAGAAGGGTAAGACAGACGGAGAGGTAAACGGAGATGCCAACGGAGAACAAAATGGTAGTCCCATTGATAGCAACTCCGAGGGGGCAGAGGAAAATGGTGACGAAGCTCTCGATGCCCACAGCGACGATGAACTTACTCGCCGCATCAATGCAGAAGCCAATGAAATTGAGCAGACAAATGAAATCGACGACGACGACTGGGCCGTTGATGTGTCTGCTGAAGCTGTCAAGGCTCGTGCACAGGAGCTCCCCGACGAGCTGAAACGCTCGCTCGTCTTCGACGACAATGATGAGGACGGTGAGGGTGACCATGGAGCGGCTACTGCATACGACCATCTGGGCAGCTGGATCATCAGCTCTGCAGAGGCTTGTGAGGAGGGTGTCTCGGGCGTTAGTGACATTGATATCTATAAGAAAGCTAAGGAGCTTGGCATTGAAACAAAGCACAAGACCCTCGCTGTCTTGGCTCAAACCATGTTTGACGACAAGATTGTTAAGCAAATCCCACCTAGGGCTGCTATGCTCAAGAAGGTGCTGTAACATCCGTTTAAATAAATTTTCTTACCTTGACTGCGGACATAATACTAATATGGTTCCTTTAGATGATCACTTCTGAGCGTCATGAGAAAGCTTTCCTTGGAGGTACTGAACGTTTGGTTGGAATTGAACGCCCCAACCTTATCCCAATGGTCCCAGCCATCCTGCTTGCCTATTATCAGGAGGATCTCATTTCTGAGGAGGTTCTTAAAGCCTGGGGATCGAAGGCCAGCAAGAAGTACGTCGACATCTCCACCAGCAGAAAGGTTCGGAAGGCTGCTGAAAAATTCCTACAATGGCTCGAGACTGCTGAGAGTGATGATGAGGACGATGAGGAGTAGGATGGGATGATAGTTTGAAGTGTGACCTTCCTGGTCACACAGAAGTGACGCTCCTTAATAAGTTTCTTCTTATCATATGTTGCCACTCCATTCCCAGTTTGATTTGATTTTCTATTTTTTTGCTCTATTTTTAAATATTTGATGTCAGCGTGCCTAATTTGCTCTCCGATGCACCGGTTTATTGGCCAAATATTCTGTGCCATTCGGACTGCGTATTAAGCATTTAATCTTATACATTCGCGCTCAACTCGCTTTGAAACTCAGTTTGGATGAGAATGTTCTGGTGTTAAGATTGTTCAACTCAATTTCATACATTCGTTTGTCATAAGAATACCCGCTTATGATTGCAGGAATCAAATTACCATTTCTAGCTTGCAGTTTGACTATTTTACTATTATCCTTCTGCCTAGGTGTATGCTGTTTGCCCGGGTGAATCATAGACAATCCCATAGTAAGTAAAGGAATTATGGTAAGTAGAGTATGTAGATGGCCTATGGCTTCGGTAGTATCCAAAGTGCCTTTGTGTATGACATTGTTACGTAAACGGCATGACTGATTTCCTGTTTTTCGTCGCAGATTGTAACATCCTATCAAACCAAATCAACTAGCTTCGCCAACGGCCATGAGCCATTTCCCATTCCCATTCCCATTCCCGTCCAAAGCAACTCTGTCTGGATATGTTCCTTCGGCCTGGGATTGCATCTCCGTAACATCTCGCCAATCCTCTTCTCTATATTCCGTTCAGCCCTTTGAAGTTTGTCAGTAGCACCACCATTCGCACCACCATCACCACCTCTGGCCCTCCTCTTCTTCGTGAAAATAAACCAAGTTAAATCGGCATTCCACGCATCCATTGTTCGAATGGCTCTATCAATTTCTCCCCTTGACTCTTCTTGTGCCCACTTCTCCGTCGTTTTCTTCTCATCTAACCCCATATGTTCACGCCATGCACCTGTGAAGTAGTAATCGGGCTGGTAGAACGAGATTGCTGTACCAAGACACTCGCAGATATCATCACTGATATCGTCAGGCAGACGGACGTGAGAGAGCATAGTTGTGAAAAGGTTTGTTAAAGCCTGGAATAGGGAGTGATGGGGAGTAAATAATTTCTTGTTTGGTAATGGTGGTGGCCGCGGCGGTGGATTGGACTGTAGTGTTGAGGCCGTGGCGGTGGATGCGGCAAGTTTGTCATCAATAGTACTATGACCATTGCCAAGTGTTATTGATTCTAGCTCCGGCCCGGTGCGAGAACTGAGGAGCTCCTGCTGCCGTATTCGCAGCTGCTGGCGCTCTGCGGCCTTCTCTGAATCATGCCGCACTCGCTCCCAGGACCGGAGGTAGAGTTTCTTCCAAAGCGGGTATTCATGTTCAATACGGGATGACATGAAGTCGCCGGCTCCTTCGCAAATAGTACCTATTGCAGAACAGGCTGCGACAGTTACGAAGGTTTCTTCCTGTATGCCGGATTCGTCGATGCTGGATGGGCTGTCTCGGGTTCGTTTGGGGACAGTATTCGTTGTTGTAAGCGACGTGGAGTCGGAGGGGAAATTTGGTGGGAGGGTGATGCGTGCGCTAATGGATGGCCAGAGGTCGTTGATCAAAGGCAAGAAGGAGTTTTCGTCATGAGAAAGAACGGGTAACGCCCGAGTTAGAATGGATAGTAACGAGCGCCTTAAGAATGGCGACGGCGAGGACAAATGGGGAGGCATAGATTTGGCGATGTCTAAGAGTAATTTGTGAGAACTGCTCAGTGGCTTTTCTTCTTCAGTGGGAGGTGGCAGTTCGTCTGTCTCAGAACCTATATCGCTTTTATCCTCATCTATATGCTCAGGACCATCTTTTTGATCAGTCCATGGACGTTTGGGATGAAAATTTCGCTCCGAGTCACCATCCATTTCAAATTCAGAAGCTCGAGCGCATTTCTCCCTGCGCCCTTTGAATAGGTTCGCAACATCCGAAATGGTGCGGGATGCGAGAGGCCTCTTCCGATGATTGACGACTTCTTTCCCATCTGACCCTGTGATGGCTAGCAGTGCTGGCTTCTTTGCACCTTCGTCCACAATAGTTCCCAACACAGAAAATAGAAGTTCAACTAGCTTAGGATAGCCATGGAAAGCATCCAAAGCTGCAAATATCGACCCAACTAAGTCATCCAGGAAAGGAATTAAACTAGCTCCACATCGCTTAACCATCATAAGTAGCACTTGGGGAGCTTGCGGCGATATGTCAAACGTATTTAGCTTCAGAGACACCGAATTCACTAGGTAGTCAACATTTTCGACAAGCATTGCACTTGCGTTGGGATATTTGCACGCCTTCGTCAAGTCATTGAGGCATGTAATAGCGTGATTTCGCAAGTTAGGATTGTTGGAGCCCATCAACTGCAACACAGGGTATAAGGTGTCAATCAACTCTGGCCGAAATGTTTCACCAAGCTGCTGTGCCTGAAGTGCTACAGCTTCAAGGGCTAACGCAGGGAGACGCCAATCGGGAGGATTAGAACTTGATAGTAGCGGAAGTGAAATTGAGTATAGCTCCTCGACAATGGCAGCGCGAGATGGTGAGTCAGAATCCAGATCAAGCATGTCATCCAGTGATGCTATATCTGCTGGAATACTCTTTATAAATGAGAGGGTAAGCCAAAAAGGAGCCAAGACGGCATCGCTAGACGATCCGTATACTTTCTTTAACATCGAACGCACTAGTGATAGAGATTTATCTGCGGCGCTAAGTTCCGAAATCATAGATTGGAGCTCTGACAGCGTTCTTCGTTGGCTGCGGTGTTCTAGTAGCACAGGTTGAAATGATAGAGAATTGCTCTCATCCACAGGAATGCTGAGTTCGGACCCTGTGGCAGAAGAACTAGGTAGGGGTTGAGGAGCTGTTGAAATGGTTTGGATTGCCGCAGAAACACTATCGCACAAGCTTGTAGCGAGTGTATCGTCTAAAATATCCGAGCTTGGTTGAGTTTGGGATAGGACATGGAACGCAGTCGATATTTGTCTAATTGCCCTATGTTTGGCTGTATCGTTATTTGATTGCATCATTCTCGGTAATGCAATAATCCACGTGTGCAAGCTTGATTTGAGAAGATCCAAGACCGGGCCGGATGAGATGACGAGATGTTTTAAAGCTACATAAGCCTCATTTGACGTACTCTGCTTGTCATATTCGGCGAGCACTACGACGGTGTCTACCATCATCGACAGTGAGGCTGCGAGGGAGCTCGGACATCGCTCAATGACCATGAGGCATAATTCGAGTAAATAATGGCGAACTTCAGGTCTTTCATGGGTTCTCAGCCGAATCACGTTGCCTAGCGCAAGCTTTACTTGGGATGCTGTCGCATTTAGCCACGAATCATCGAGGACTATAACGTCTTTAGCTTTTCGTTTCGTAGCATCTTCTCCTTCAGCTTTTGAAGCTGCAACATCAGCATCATTAAGTACAGCCTTCAAGATTTCTGTGAGCGCTTGGAGGTAGCAACACAAAACTTGGTACGATCGCCGCATTTGAGTGGTTGGCCGCAGCGCTTTGGTCAATGAAGAGACACTCCTGGGTAAAAGGCTAGCCAACACCACACGATGGGTGATGCGCGTGTTTAAGGTCCGTAAAGCCGTTGCTGCAGCCAGTTGGACCTGGTCAGAACTACCGTCCGTGATACCTTCCAGTAAAACATAGACAGTTTGATCAATGATAGTGGATGTTCCCACTTCATTGAATATGGCTGATGCAGCTGCTGGCCCATCTAGGACCTGGCACACGCTTCCTATACAATCGAATGCGGCGGTAACTAACTCTTCCGAATCAGGCCTCTGCTGGCCTTGACCTTGACCGGGAACACCACCACCCACAATGGTAAGGAGGATAAGCAGCTGCTTTCCCATCGGAATAGAAATATTCTGACGCCATCCTTTCTCTATCAGAATCTGTAGGCACCGCACGGCCAGCTCTAGGCAGTGGACCGAGACCCTTTGGGTCTCATTGAATATGTGCGATAGAGGGAAAAATGTGTACTCTGCAAGTTTCTCATCTAAGCCATGCATACTGGCAACCTCGATGAGCGCAGCATGCAGTGGTTTCAACGCCTTGAGCACATCCTTGGAGGTCGCAAGGTTAGCTCGAAATTTAAGCCCTGCGGAGCTGAGTTCCACGCAAGGGGGGCGCAGCTGTTAACAGCAAAGGTAACGATGCAGTTAGCAGGGACGTATACCACGCTGCCAAAAAAGCATCAGAGGAGAATTTATGCACACCTTTGCAAAAGCGTCCTGCCGTGAGCGGTCCATGGTGCTGAACGTCCTAATTTCAAGTCATATCCAGATGTTAATATGGCAATACAAGCTCGAAATTCAGGGGCCATGTGAGCTGTAGAATTTCCCACGACACATAGCGGGCTATCTACTTAACTTTTCTCTCAATTCCTTAGGCTGTCCAAGCTGCAACATGAGCCCTGCCTCCGCGAATATTCACTGATGCACTTTTGAGATGAACAAAACGGTTGAAATGCAAAGGGGGGCGGCGGCAATAAGGCCGGATCAACTATCACCCGGATGGGCTTCAGTTAACTTAATTATTACTAATCGCTTCGGCATGCCGTGCCGTGGAAACTCAATCGTAAATCGGCCATGAAAGTCACCTTGAGAAACCCAGATGCTGTGTCCAAGATGTCCGGATTATGTGGATTTCTGACGCTAAATCATCAGGAAGGATTCGGCGCTCACTGGGAAGACTTGGGATGTGAAGAAGGGCTCATCTCTCTCGGCCCTAAACTACCATTTGGAAGATTCATTTTGGAAATTGGCATATATCATGATCTCGTCTGTCATTTCTGCCTACTTGAAACTCAGAACCGGTTACAAATGTGGCCCCGGAAGATGTCGGATGTATTGCGTATAAAAGCGACTTTTTGAGGGTTCTTAAAACTTTACCGAGGATGTTTGAAGCTATGCCGTACAGCCAGAAAGAAAAGAGTCGTTGGCGGTATGCATAGTTAACTATTTGTCTCTTCAACGGGAAATGAAATCGCTGATCATTGGAGTCGTCTGTGCCTCCACTGTGGTGTAAGGAGCGGTTTCGTTCTCAACAAAGTGAGTGAGCTCTTCAAAACATAAAGGATTTCTTTCCATATTGCTCGGTTTTGTCCTGTCGATTACTACGACACTCCGTTTGGTTAACTACAACAAGTTGTAACTGGTGTTAATGAAGCTTCTGTTTGTTCACATATCGTAGCAGCTCTATTTAAAACCCGCCGCTTTTCCTGTAAAAGAACCCTTGTCCTCCCGCAGTCAAGGTTTTGGCAATAGGACCTTCTATACGGTTTCCCAATATCGTAATTGGCTGGTGTTGCTGCATTGAAATGCAAAGGGATATATGGTTGGTCCACTTCATGGAAACCCGAGAAGTTTGAGATGTGGAAGAACATTGTTTTGCCTGCTTTCTAAAACCTCTGCTCATAGCTTCTTCACCTCTTGAATCGATCTATATCAAGATTGCTTTCGAAGCTGTTACCCTGTCACGGGTGTGAAATCACTCTTTCTAGGACATATCCTCGACGGGGCTCATTTTTGAGGAGCTGGCTGCTGTGTACGGTAGTTAACTAGCTTGGCCGTTCCCAGAGCTCCATGTAGAAGAGGAGACATAGATGAGCAGGAATTCCTCTTTCGCTATGCGACCAAAGCGTCTTTTAGCACTGGGATTTTTCGATCTCGCCGCTGCGACATCTCCATTTGCCCATGACCCATCCGCTTTACACAGGCGGAATAGCAATTACGGGGGGGGGAACAGTTGCCTGGCGGAGCCCGTGCCTGTCACGGAAGTTCCAAAGACCAACGTTTGGGCTGGGATTAGCGCTGAAGATAACCTGGCTGTGTGGGAGCTCCTTCACAGCCCTACCACTGGCCTCAACTTGACGTATCCCGAAAATGCAACGATAACGGACAATTATGTCTTCTGGATCGACACTTTGCCGGCAAACAAGTCAGCTGTGCTTGCTTACATTGATGGCAATAGCCCGCCACCCCCGAAGTACGCCCGGACTATCGTTTTTGAAGGTGGGAGGAATGGTCCTAGATCTCAAGAGTACATGGTGGGGCCTCTTCCAGTCTCCCCTGAAACCACTGTCGAACCCCTTGACTACATCTACAATGGCGGTATGGGTGGATCCGTTCCTTTTAATGCTCGCTACTTCGACGACATACGCGAAAGGTCTGTGGAGCCACTGATTTCCTCTGTTATGTCGAAACTTGCCAATATAACGTCTGCATTGTTCCAGGGTGGCGTGTATTACGGCAGGTATGACAATAGGACAAATCTGATATATGGAACTACGGATCCTATTTCTTTCGATGGAGAACAAGCATTCCTCAACATTATGTTTCGATCTCCAACTAGAGCGCCATTTTTGACTCCAATCGACTTCTTTCTGCTGATTGACTGGACAGGGACGGACCCGTCCTCTTACTCTGTGAAGGGATTTGTGACCAAGGAGCGGTTCTTTCGTACGACCGAGGAACTGACAACATCGTTCGAAGCCGGCGAGCTGAAGCAGGAGTTTGACCAGACCTTGGACGATTCCTGGACTTTGCTGAATCGTAAGCCTGAGATGGGAACTCGTGAGCTGGATGGGAAATTCTCTGCCACTATCCTTGAATTGGGCGGGAAAAGGTACAAATTGGATACAGACCAGCGGTATGTTGAGTATATGGGTTGGTCTTTCTATATGTCGCATAGTCGCTCTCTAGGACTCATGTTGTTTGATATCAAGTTCAAAGGTGAACGGATTTTGTATGAATTATCTCTTCAAGAAGCAACCTCTCAATACGGAGGAAACCAACCAAAGGCTGCCAATACAGGTCAGTATTGCCCATCTTGCCCCGAGTGACCCAGTTGCCAGTCAGTTCGTCAAACTAATTACCCATATACAGTCTTTCAAGACACCTACTTTGGTCTGGGAACCAAGATGGGGACTCTGCTCGAAGGATACGACTGCCCATTCGGGTCCACGTTTTTGAATCTGACTTACCACGAAGGCAACCACACAGTCACTAGCATGGATTCCCTTTGCATTTTTGAGACTGACCTGGGATTTCCTCTTTCCCGCCACCGCTCCGATGACGAAGAGTCTAATTGGGCTTCCAAAAACCTTGGTGTCATCAAGGGGAATGCGCTCATAACTCGCGTCGTGGCGACCGTTGATAATTACGATTACATGTTCGACTACGCGTTCCACGTCGACGGTTCTCTCGAGATCTCCGTTCGTGCCAGCGGCTACCTCCAGGCTAGTCCTTACTTCAAGTCGCAGCAGAAATGGGGCCCTCGTGTCCAGCAAGCGACCCAAGGTTCAATCCACGACCACATCCTGACCTGGAAAGCCGACTTTGACATCGTTGACACAGCCAACTCCTTCGAGATAAGCAAATTAGTCGCAACAGAGCAATCTCAGCCCTGGTTCCCAGAACTAGGAGTTTTCGAACAGATTGAGCTCCAAGCCAGCTATCTGGAAAAGGAAGATCGTTTCAACTACGAACCAAATAACCAAGCCATGTACTGTGTCGTGAACAGGAACAGAAAGAATGCCTGGGGCGAAAATCGCGGATACCGTATTGTGTCCGGCCGTTCTAACGTCCATCTCACAGCGGGCAACTCTCCCTTCTCACGCAAGAATTGCGAATTTGCGAAGCAGCATCTCGCCGTCACTCGCCAGCATGACAATGAACCCTTTGCCAACTCCGTCCAGAACGCTAATTTGCCCTGGAAACCACAGCAGGATTTTAGCAAGTTCTTCGACAACGAGTCCCTTGACCAGGAAGATCTTGTGGTGTGGATGAATATGGGCATGCACCATTTCACACGCGCTGAGGATGTGCCTGTGACGCTGTTCAGCGAGTCGTATGCCAGTATGATGCTTTCACCGCATAATTTTTTTGACCGGGCGCAGGATGGCGACTTAATGAATCGGCGTTGGGTTGTTGAAGATAAGGGGAGTGGAAAGATGGATTTTGAAGATTATGGTGTGAAGCTTCCGCAGTGTAGGGTAGAGTTCAAAGAGCCGGTTATGCGCCTTAATTCAGCACTTGGGGGACTTTAGCACAAGGGATTTGGGACGCAAAGAGCGGTCGTTTTCTTGCAGAGTTCGGTTGCCGCTCTGGCCAGTTAACTATGGGTTAAGAGACCGTGTGTGTGTCACTTCCTTCTGGGTTCTATGAAATATCAAATGTCCACCCCTTAAAATGTCTGATCATCAACTTCTTCAAGCCCGCCATCACCAACTTACCTATTAAGGAGCGGGTGATTCAGCTTTGTCAGACAGAAAGGCAATGGTTGAAGGCAGGTTGAAATACTCGTCAAACAGCAATTTCTTGGGCAGTTCGTCAACTCCGATTCCTGGTTAGAGAGAATAGCAGGTAGTCGTTGGATGGCAATGTTCACTCTTCTAACTACTCAGAAATGTCCGAGTTAGCCGAAGGGTTGTAGGGAGAAGTACGCACATATTAAACCGTTTTTATTGAGAGTGCCAATTTTAGTGGAAGTGGCTTTTTGACCGGTGATGGGTCAACGTCCAGCCAATAAACAGCTGGCAAATCACATCACTTGCTAGAAAGAAAATTGGAGAAGGTTAGATATTGCTTTGAGAACCAAGCATGTCAGATAGCTAGCGTCGAATTTTAGATGCATTGGCACATTGGCAAATCGCAGCGCTCGCCAGACTCCCCTCCGGTCTGCAAGGCTTAATGGTAGTTTGGATGAGGGGCTCTGCGTCTCCTGGTAAAAGGACACTATCCATTGTTTCGAGAATGTGGGTTTGCACCCCGAACAAGTTCAGAGAAGTGCATTTTTGTCACTGTCGATAGCACTCAAACAAAGCTTATGTGGATTGCTTTTACGTCCACACTGCTCGGTCGGACGTTCCCCGAGCCGTGATGGATCCTCTCAGCGCTGTTGGCCTTGCTGGCAATGTCGTGCAGCTGCTAGACTTTGGAATCAGGCTGGCAGCTAAAGCGCACGAAATATACGTCTCTGCCGAAGGAGTACAGGTGCACAATCTCGAGTTGGATGCTATTACCCAGAATTTGGTCACCTTGAATAGGCGGACTCAAAATCGATCCCGCAAAGTCTGTGCCTATGCTACTTCCGAGGACGAGAAAGCGTTACAGGACTTAACGGAACGCTGCAATGAGATTGGGGAGGAACTAATAAAGGCTCTGCAAGCTGCAAAAGTGCAGGGAGCTCATAAACACTGGAAAAGTGTTAGACAGGCACTGAAAAGCACCATGGGTAGAGATAAGATTGAGGACTTATACAGTAGACTCAAGCAATACCGCGAACAGATTGTCGTTGTCTTGCTTGTGATTACCAGTGCCAAACAGACCGCCCTAGGCGAAAATGTGGATGCCGTGAGGCACGGTATCGTGGATTCTGAGTCGAGAATTCTCGACGAGACACGGCAGAGTCGTTTCCAAATTCTCGACGCCATCCGGCGCTCAAACTACAACCCCTCGAAGCAAGAAGATATATCGACAGTCTCACGGTTACTATCGGAGATGGTCTTGCGGGGCTCAGAACAGAAGTTCAAGGAAGAAATCCTTGATAGTCTGTACTTTCCGAATATGCAAGACAGACGTGAATGGATTTCCAGCGCTCATAAAAAGACATTCAATTGGACGCTGGAGGAAAAAGCTGGCGAAAACGTTCCCTGGGATAGCCTGAAGGACTGGCTGTGCAAGGGAGACGGTATATATTGGTTGAGTGGAAAGGCTGGATCAGGAAAATCCACGCTGATGAAATACATCGACCAGGACAAACGAACTTTGGAATATCTAAAGATGTGGGCATCGCCACAGAGTATCGTATTTACGAGTTTCTACTTTTGGAATCCGGGCACGTCAATGCAAAAATCGCAGTTGGGGCTGTTACAGAGCTTACTCCACAAAATCCTGTCAAGAAGACCAGAACTCATCCCCAAAATCTTTCCGTCTCTATCAGAGTACTACAGCACACATGGGAAAGCGAATTTCTCCTGGGCAATCTCAGACCTAATTAGTGCGTTCAAGCTACTTGTAAACATCACATTCGAAGCCAGGTTTTGTTTCCTCATCGATGGCCTTGACGAATTTGATGGGGATCATCGGACCCTCATCGACATGCTTGTTAGTATGACCGGGAGTCACAGCATCAAAATACTCGCTGCGAGCCGCCCGTGGCTTCTTTTCAAGGATGCCTTTCAGAATTGTCCGAAATTAACCCTGCAGGATTTGACTCACGATGATATCAAGATTTTTGCCCAGGACTCGTTATACAACCACCCAAGGTTTTCAAGGGCGTTGGTTATGGAACCACAGCGTGCTCCCAAACTTGTGTCTGACATTGTGAACAAGGCGTCCGGTGTATTCCTCTGGGTCTACCTCGTGGTGAGGTCGCTAATGGACGGCCTGACAAATGCCGACCGGATGGATGATCTCCAAAGAAGATTGGACCAGCTCCCTGCCGACCTCGAGCAGTTCTTTTCCCATATCCTAACCAGCTTGGACTCATTCTACCTCAAACAGGCCTCTCAGCTCTTTCGTCTGGCACTTGAGGCCCCAAAGCCTCTGGCTGTTTTAACATTCTCCTACCTGGATGAGTCCGACCCAGATTTTGCAATAAAAGGACCGATAAAAGCGATGTCGATCGAGGAAGAGACTATTCGATGCGAAGAAATTGAGCGGAGACTCAATAGCAGGTGTAAAGGGCTATTGGAGTCTCGCCGTCGAAGAAGTTGCGATGAATATTCCAATACTGAAGGAGTGGTTGCCGAGGTAGTCTCTTACGAGGTCGATTTCTTGCACAGGACTGTCCGCGACTTCTTGCGCACTCCAACGGTAGAGGTTCAGCTTGTCGCGGTGGACAATGCTGAATTTGATGCAAACATGACGTTGGCTCGGGCGTATGTGGCTCGGATCAAAGGTCTCCGGCACTCGTCACATTCAGAGGCCAACTTCCAGGCCTTGTGGGATCTTGTGTTCAACATGATGTACCACGTTAGTCGCACGGGGGATGGCATATCTCAAAAGGCCCAAGCTGACCTTCTAGATGAGATGGACAGGGCCGCTGCACACTTTCGAGAAGCTGCTATTGTCAAAAGACGATGCGATCCCGCGGCGCACTGGGTGAATACGGGTTATCGATTTGGCTTTGAACCGCAGTGGAACAATGATTTTATTAGCCTTTGTGTTCAATATGGGCTAATCTCTTATATCGAGCAGAAACTGTCTTCAGGGGTTTCACTAACCCGTGCAGGCAAGCCCTTCCTGGCCTTCGCGATGACAAGCACGAAAGGTACGGGAGGCACCTCGAGCGGGCAGCTCGGAGGCATCCATTACTTAGAACCCAGAGTAAAAATGGTACAGTTCCTGCTCGAAAGGGGCTCCACTCCCAGTGATGTGGACAAGGGCGAAACAGTGTGGGCCCGTTTCATAGTTTCCATGCACTTCCTCACGATCAAGGCTAAGCTCCAGTTCTCCGAACAAGCCAAATCTTGGTTCGAGATTGCGAAATTAATGCTGCTTCGAGGGGCAGATCCACAAATGATATGTCCTGTCAACGCCCAACCTGGAAAGCCAATCGAAATATCAACCATGGGGCAAACAACGGCCATGGACGTTCTTTTCACGATCTTCGGCGCAGACACCAGGTTCGATGTATCCGAACTCGAGGATTTGGTAGAGCAACCCCAAAGGCCTCCACAATCCCGCAACGCGAACGACTCGTATCTCCAGGTCCCAGGAAACCAGCAAGGGGTAAATGTTTGGCGAGCCCATTCTTCGTCGTCGTCCATTTCGAGTATTAGCGGACAATCTGCAATGCTCCCCAGTCTCCCAGCGGTATATTACTCGAATACACAGTTAGCGGGATATTCACAAGCAGGCAACGGTGGCACACCAGCGGCCTTCCCGCCGGTTGTCGAGGCGCCAGATATGATGGCGCATGTACAAGTGCACGAGAGAGGCGCTCTTTCGACCCCTCCAAGAAAGAAGCGGCACTCGCGGCTATCAAGCTTGTTCGCGAAGATATTGCCAAGGGAGAAAACGCCTCCCCGTTCCCCTTCGGCCCCAGATACTCGTCATTGCCAAGGAACTTGAATGGTGAGAATGAGATTCATTTCTGAAGTTCTAATCAAAAACCCATAATTGCAACACTGGTTTTCTTTTCTTTTCTTTTCTTTTTTTTTTTTTTTTGGATATTTGAACTTCGAAAAGCTCTCGATCATCACCACGGTATGTATCATCATGCATGAATTCTCACGGCCTCCATCAGCAGGTTGAAGGTTGTGTGAAACTATGGTGAATGACTTTTCGAACTGTACAGACAGAGCATGTTGAGATTGGCCGCGACGCAAGACTCTCAATGAGCCGATAGGTGATATATACAGCTCGAAACCTTGAATAAAACACACAGATGGATTTGGGTGGATAATTCGCCTGTTCCGCTGCTCCGAATTTTGATAACTGCAGGCCGGAGGAAGAAGTATAGAGAAACACTGCTGGGGTGGTGTGTTGTCTTCATGTAGCCTTTCTCATCATATGGAATATTTGCCTGTTGACCGTCTATGTGGTTGTGGATGGATGGACGTCCCCCTCCCCGGGTGAGGTATCATGTTGGATTTACCCCTATCTACATGTATCTCTCGATTTCTCCCACATATAGGGGGAATCGAGAAGCAACCCGCTGTCCTACGGATCCCACTGTGGGCTCCTCTTCCTCCATGAATCCGTCAGCGATGGATGTTGAAAACCACAAAGACCCACTTCTCATCCCCACGGGAAGAGTCACCGGCGATTCCTCCGATACCCTTGCCACTGCCACTGCTGCGTGTCCAAGGCCTAATACCCGGTTCCTACGAGTTGACAGGACAGACCCCTTTCCCAACCCCTAGTCACCTTCCCCCGCCCCCCGGGGGATCTTCCACCGGGACAACTCCACCACCTCTATACCACACACACCGCCCTTACCAAGCAGCCAGAGGACACGTTCCGCCCCTTTACACCGCCCGCTGCCCCTGTCCCAACAGGGCTAGCGGGGTGCCGGCACGCCCTCTGCTGCTTATTATAATAATGGCCCTCCGCTTGTCTTCTCCCTCTTCTCCTCCCTCCCCCGACAACCCCCGCTTCACCATCGCTGCCCAACCTCATCCATCAGGTTCTCCATCTCCACCTCCACCTCTACCTCTCCGTCCCTCCCTTGATCGAAAGCTCCTTTATTCTTGAGTTGTCCAACTTCCAGAAAGTACAGCTCTTCCTGTCTTGACTGCTTCTCGCCAGACGCGTCTCGCGTCCGTGCAATGCACTCTTTCTAACGCGTATCCTTAGAATCAATCAACCATGAAGGCCATCATTGCCCTCGCTGGACTCCTCATCCTGTCCGCCACAGCCGTGTGCCAAGATATGAGTCCGGTCCTTAACCTTGCTCCCTGCCCTGTAAGCAACTTCTTTCTGGTTATGCCCCTTTTCCCTTTCCCCTTTCCCCTTTTGCACCCACGACACACCCCTTGTTATCCGGGCTAATTCTGACAGAGGGGATGTGTCTTCGACACCCTTGGAAAGGCCCCTGATTATGGCTGCTCCTCCAGTGACGTTTCCTGTCTCTGCAAGAGCGAAGGGTATCAGGGTGAAGTCAAGAAATGTGTCCAGGAGAAATGCACGGCTGAGGAAGTCGAAGCCTTGGACAAAGCTGGTCGTGAAGTCTGTGATAGTGCTGGTATAATACCCAACCTGCTATTAAATCCCCTCTACTCTCCCCTGCGTCTCTCTTCTCGCACGCAACTAATGCTTTTTGGTGTAGGAGCTCCTATTCCCCCCAGGACCACCACTGGGGCTGATCTTACCCTTCCAGTTCCCACTGTCGTGCTACCAACTGTCAATCCTCTCCCTGAACCCCCTCGGTCAAGTGTTCCATCTGTCCCCTCTGTTTCATCTGCTCCCCAAGAAGTCGTTTCCACTATTGTTATACCTGTTCCCTCTGTTACTCCTGAAGTCCCTTCGGTTAGTCTCCCCTCTACTCCTTCTGTGCCCTCTCTGTCTGTCCCCCCTGCCCCTGAGTTGCCCTCCGTACCTGTCCCTTCCCTACCTTCCATTGCTCCACCCAGTGTCCCTACTGCCCCAGGTATGGGGTCCATGACAGTTCAGCCCGTGTCATCCAGCGCAGGAACTACCTACATGGATCCGGCTAGGAGTACTTCATCTGCTGTCTCCAGCTCCACCATCGAGCCATTCCTTGGCGCAGCAAATATGCTATTGCCAGTGCATGCAGGTGCCGTTGGCGTCGGGGTCCTTGCTCTCATCATCTAGGCTTGTCACCAGGGTCGAGAGGCCATGGGGTCTGGCAATGCTCATGCTATACAGCAAGCAACCTCGTTCGATGGCTCCCATGCCCCTCTCCAATCACGGTGTCACCACGTTGTTCAACCCCTTTTGAAACTCCCACTTATTATTTCAAAGTATTTGCACATTTCGTTTTTCATGTATTAACAGCTTCTTCTTTATTTCTTTTCTTTTCTTTTCTTTTCTTTTCTTCTTTTTCTTCTTCTTTTTCTTCTTCTTTTTTTTTTCTTTATGCTGGCATCTATGTTGCCATGACTCTCGACATCCCCGCTTGTTCAACTACTTTCGGGGAATGAATATTAACGACTCCCGATTTACGACATGATACGACAACGCCTTGTTGCTTTGTTTCAATAACCAGGAAAAAAAATAAAAAAAAAACCTAAAAAATAAAAAAAAACCTCGAAAAAAAGAATTACACAAACAAAAACGACGAAAAAAACAGTTGATGACCTCAGATGGTACCTGTTCACATGTATATCTTACCAAGCTGCACAGATGCCCCGGCACAACAAACACTCTATAGCGCAACCCCAATATAAATTACCTCTATCATGCGCACTTGATGTCCCTTCAGAATGATGTCGGTAGATTACTCTCTCCTCTTAGATTAATATATGTGCCTTCAGTATCTGTAGTGATTCTCTAACACACTTCTCGCCACCCCCTTCAAAGAGGAGCACTTTCAGTTCTATTGCTGCATTCTTGTCTTGGACCATTAAGGACTATCCCTCCCCTACGACATACCCAATATGCTTCTTTAGTACTGTGCCATGAACCGGGTAAATACAACATCTATTTCCCCTCCCCCTCCCCCAACAAACAGCAGTAACTCGAATAGTGGTGGGGCATCCGGTTCACAGAAACCGCAGCCCCAGCCCTTTTCTTCAAACAGGATAAGTTCTTCAAGCCAGTTTCCAACATTCATCGTCAAAAGACTCACGCCTTGCAGCACTCCCTTTCCTTGCAAGTCTAAAATGTGAAAATGTGTTTTGGATTCAATCTTGGCGTTGTTAACCCCGGGGGAGCGTGAAGATGGGAAACTCAACGGCAGAAATAACTAGCTTATAAGTAGACCGACTCCAAGCTTAAATGATTTCGGTATATATATTTCTACGGTCTATCCTAGGTTAATCGATTGCGGAATTTTCCTTCTCGGATGAATAGCATGCAGAATCAACAACTAAGCCCGATTTCCAGCGGATCGCGATATCACGTGCCATCGACGCGTCCCGTTCCTGTCACCGCTTGAAACGAGGAAAAATGCGCTTGGATACCCCAAGCTCGAACCAACTAACTAATTCCAGGACGCAGCTGGTTGCCTAACTATAACAGGGGCAGAACCAGCAGAACCAGCAGAACCAAACACCCCATTGAACCTCCTCCCCACCTGTTTCCCCTACTTCTAATTTCCACGTCTCTCCCTAGCGGGTTGTGGCTGCTTTGACGAGTTTTGATTACCATCCATCCCTCTTGATATTATACGGTCTGGCCTAACCCAACGTCGAATAAATACATCGAATGACTGCCTGGAATCTAATCTACGGACACAACCCAATGAGAAAGGAATTATACATCGATCCATCCAACCCCCCGCTCACAGCGCGAAAAGGAAACAAAACTAATTTATGCGCCATCTTCCCCTCCCTTCTCCCTTCGCCAAAATCAACATTCCTCCATTCCTCACCTCACCGCATAACCTCCTTCCCCAGTTTGGAACGCACAGCACCGCTCTCCACCCCGGGGACCAAACGCCTAGCTATCGCGGGTGCCTAGTCCCCAACTTGCCATATAGAAGACTAGAAAGACGAGAAAGACATAGACCTTTTTCGACAGCTGTGTGTGCTGCTGGTAGCTGTCAGTGTCCACGGCAGACTCGAGGGGCTGTTTTGGTTGTGATACCCTGCAGGGCTTATACGGCTTCTAACGGTTCTTTGTCGTTGGTTGGAGAAGTGGACGATATGATGCAGAGAGGAGGAGGAGGAGGTGGTGGTGGTGGTGGCGGTGGCGGTGGGAAACAGGCTACTTTGGGGTACGTTAGAGATCCGCAGTTGAGTATCGGGTGCGTGAGTGTATGCCGTATTGCTGTGTGCTCTATATATATATATATGCTATGAGGGCTGTGGTTTCGTTTAGTGGGATTGGCGCTCGTATATCAAGTGTGCATTTGACCACAGATGGTTGGAGAGATTGATATAAAGTTTGACAATTCGTCAAGTATTTTGACTCCTCGCTGACTTTATGTATCTTTTATAGGAAGTTCTTTGGTGCCAATGCTGGTTCCGCATCTGTTCTGAAAAAACAATCTACCCTGGCATTTTCATCTGGGACAAGGGACAAAAAGAAACAGGAGAAAACCGCCACAGAAACGAATGATGAAAAGTTAAGTAATGGGGAGAAAGATGTTGAAATGAGTGATGTTGAGGCTGGTGGAGAATCGAAGGGCGACAGCCCTCCTCCTGCTGCGGGAAAGGAGGAATCGGATGCAAATAGCGGATCTGAGAAGGTACCGGATAGCAGGAGCGAGAACAGCTCTCCTGGATCCAAGAAACTAAAACGAGACAAAACCCACGTGGAAGAGGAGAGTGAAGAGTCTGACATTCAGCCGGCTACCAAGAGACGAAAGCGGTCTACACCAGAGAAGAAACGCGCATCTCCAAAGCCCAAGACTGCTGACAAAAAGCCTGTTGCTTCCAAAGCTAAAGGTCGAAGTAAATCACCACAATCCCCGAAGAAAGTGAAGGAGCCCGTTGATGAAACCAAGGAATCCACATCCGCCGAAAAGGACGATGTAGATTCTGTAAATGATGATGAAATAGGAGAAGAGACGCCAGAAGTTGCTCAGAAGGATAGAGAAACAGTGCAGCAGGTACTGAAATCAAGTGGGAAGGATCCCTATCCAGACTGGAAAGTTGGAGACCCAGTTCCATATGCCGCGCTCTGCACCACTTTTTCCCTCATCGAAATGACGACAAAACGGCTGGTTATATTATCCCACTGCTCTCTTTTCCTTCGTCAGGTGCTCCGCCTTACCCCAAACGACCTCCTCCCAACCGTCCAGCTAATGCTAAACAAACTCGCTGCTGATTATGCCGGCATCGAACTCGGAATTGGCGAATCGCTCATCATGAAGGCCATTGGAGAATCTACAGGCCGCAGCCTGGCAGTGATCAAAGCAGACCAGCATGAAATCGGCGATCTTGGACTTGTAGCTGCCAAGAGCCGCTCAAACCAGCCAACCATGTTCAAACCCAAACCATTGACTGTCCGAGGGGTTCATGATGGTCTTCTTGCAATTGCTAAGACACAGGGCCATGGATCTCAAGACAAGAAGATTTCAGCTATTAAAAAGCTGCTATCGTCTGCCGATGCTGCTGTGGCAGGAAAGGGATCGAAAGGCATTGACATCACGCACAACAAGGGCGGGCCAAGTGAGGCCAAATTTATCATTCGTTTCCTTGAAGGTAAACTACGTCTGGGTCTTGCTGAAAGGACGGTACTCGTGGCACTCGCTCATGCGATGGTGGCCCACGAGGTTGAACTGCAAGGGAAAAAAGCACCTACTACTGAACAACTGGCGAAGGGTGAAGAGATTCTTAAATCTGTGTATAGGTAAGAGCTCAGCTGCACTGTTCTCACATCGAGTCCTTTTGTTAACCAGATTGCTATTTTATTTTGTTAGTGAACTTCCTTCATATGAAGTTATTATTCCGGCTATGCTTGAGCATGGAATCTTCAACTTGAAGGATAAATGCAAATTGCAACCTGGAGTGCCGCTGAAACCTATGTTGGCTAAACCAACAAAGTCCATCACTGAGGTTCTCGATCGCTTCGAAGGTAAAAACTTTACGTGTGAGTACAAGTATGATGGTGAAAGAGCGCAAATACATTATATTAGTCGGGAGGCAATCTCTGAATATCGTGCGACGGCCTCAACCCTACAGAAAGACGGAGGGGGCGTATGTGCCATTTTCTCTCGCAATTCTGAAGACTTGTCAAAGAAGTACCCGGATATCCTTAGCAAACTAGAGAACTGGGTTAAGAAGGGCACTACAAGTTTCGTGCTGGACTGCGAAACAGTGGCGTGGGATGTTGCGGGCAAGAAGGTTCTGCCATTTCAGCAGCTTATGACGAGGAAGCGGAAGGATGTCAAGGCGGAAGATGTCAAGGTTAAAGTCTGTGTGTTTGCGTTTGATTTGCTATTTCTGAATGGAGAAGTAAGTTATTTGTGGATTTTCTTTTTCTCAAATCGCTGGGCCATCGAGCACTGGTCGATACTGATACACTTTTATATAGCCCACCGTGAAGAAAACCCTTCGAGAACGAAGAAGTCTACTGCATGAGGCGTTTGTGCCCGTTGAAGGCGAGTTCGTCTTCGCCCAGCACGGTGATACCAGTGATCTCGAGGAAATTCAGACGTTGCTCGACGAGAGTGTTAAAGCATCCTGTGAGGGCCTGATGGTGAAGATGCTTGATACGGAAGAAAGCGGATACGAACCCAGTAAACGGAGCCGGAATTGGCTCAAGGTAGTTTAAAACGTCTTCTTTTCTAAAACCAGCCCCATAACACCTCACAGCTTTCTCACATATTCTAAAAATGAATAGGTTAAAAAAGACTACCTAGCCGGAATCGGCGACTCTCTCGACCTAGTCGTACTGGGCGCCTATTACGGACGCGGCAAACGCACATCCGTCTACGGCGCTTTCCTCCTCGCCGCCTACAATCCCACCACCCAAAACTACGAAACAATCTGCAACATCGGCACCGGCTTCTCCGAAGCGCTCCTCGAAGAACTACACAGCGCTCTCTCCCCACTCGTCATCGACCGTCCTAAACCTTTCTACGACCACTCCTCCGTCCCCAAGGACCAGCCGGACGTCTGGTTCGAGCCCAAATATGTCTGGGAAGTCAAAGCGGCAGACCTGACGCTTAGTCCGCGCTATAAGGCTGCCGCCGATGAGATTTT